AAAAAAACAGAAAAACTTTTCCCACTGGTCTTTTCCGATTGCGCCTTTACCTCGTAAATTAAATTTCCGGAGCAAGTCAACTTCTACAGTTGCTCTCAGTTTGAGCTGTCGTTCACGAAGCATAAATGGTTCACGTGCTCGCCACTGATTTTCGAACAATGAGCGGAATACAGTTAGTTCAGTGACTTTTGTGATTTTTTTCCAAAGCGATACATTGTTAAATGCATAGATGCACTCGCATAGCCAAAATCTTTTCGCTCTCAAACGATAGGACCCCACTTCCACAGTTATACGAAAGGATTTACTGCCGTTGAGCGCAAACAGTGGAACAAAATGAAACCAAAATGAAAACAGTTCCGAATGATAAAATCGTATTTTCTCATTATGCATCTTCATGCAGTTATGGGCTGCAGTCCATTTCCAAAAGACTGCTGAAGCCGATTCTGGAGAGATTTAACGAGAGAAAAGGGGGAGGGTAGTAAAAGGCGGGAACAAACAAAATACAGGGATCTAAATCATTCGGATAAAGGGAAACAAGTGCAAACAGTTAAAATGTTTGCCAAAAGGCCTGAGGAATCATCAAAGAAGGGATGCAATTTCTTTCATGAATTCCGAATAAGCATCGTCCGTATCTTTCGCCTCTTTTCTCTGTGCTGACTCCATCTGAATTCCCATCATGTTGAATCTGAAATGAAACGGCCTGCGAAAATTAAAAAAACTTAGGCTGGAGCTCACCAGGCGAACCGGTGCTATCATGCGTTTTTGCATTAAACTTGAAGTAATTAGTTTGATTGCATGAACTGTTCTTTCTTCACGCCTACCTTGTGCGCTTAATATCGTAAATCATCGTAAATTTTGCATAAAAGGAATGAAACGATTTCCGTTTAGCGATCGTTTTTTGAAAATGACCCAACTGTTCAAAGAGTAATTCCCCACCAAAAATTTAATTGCTCGTACACGAGAACCACGCGTAAATGGAGACCGAATTTGAAAACTGCATTTGGACGAGCAATATTCTCTTAAAATCTCTGCTTCCCAGCTTTTCTGGTTTTCGAGTTAGCAGTTTTCCTGACAAAAATTTCACAGGAACGCACGTGACCTGGGAGCATACCTGGGGGCTGGTTTTGGAACCTTTAAGTTGTACGTGGGCTGGGAATATCCTTTTGAAATTTCAGCCTCCCAGCTTTCCTAGTTCCCGAGTTAGCCGTTTTCTCAACAAAAAATTCCACGGAACCGTAAGTGAGAACCACGCATGCCCGATGCCTGAATTCGATAATTTCATGTTGTATATGTGCTGGAAACATTTCCTGAACATTTTAGCGCCCCAACTTTCCTACTTCCAAAATTAGCGATTTTCGCGCCAGGAACCCTCACGGGGTCGTATGCGGGAACTACGTACATCTGGGGCTGAATTTGAAATCTTTGAGTTCTATGTGGGCGGAGAAAACAATCTCGAAGTTTCAGCTTTCTAGCTTTTCTCGTTCCCGAGTTAGCAATTATCCCGCCAAAACCTTCACCCTCTCATACGCAGAGCCCAGATTTACGTGAGAGTTGGTACCGCGATCCTGGGGTGGCACTTGGCCGAGGAATCAACTCACAAAATTTTGGCGCCGAAGCTTGCTCGGCTGCCGAATTGAAATACCCAGACAGACGCACACACACAAACACAGACAGGGTCATCGCAATATGCGTTTTTGCAATTTGCATATAAGTAAAAAGGCATGAAAAAGAAACTGCTAAATCATGTTCACAAACATTTGCGAATAAAGTCCAAATTAAAAGCTCTTAAAAAAGCTCGTTCGAAGTACCCCTCCTGGCTGTTCCTTCTGCACGTCACAGTACTCCTACACAGTTATATGCGCACTAAAACATCCTTCTTGCTCGAACATACACCAAATTTCTGGCAGTGGGCCAGTATCTCAGGTTAGTGATTGTTTATTATAAAGTATTCGCTAGAGGCTGCACTCTAGCCGAAACCTCACCGAGCAAACCAGAAATACAAATGGATTTTTCAGCCAGCTTGAAATTTTTATGATTTAAAGATTTAGAATCAAATCGCTAGGCTGGATCAAGTGGTTTTGGAATTCTTTTCCTTGATGCTTTTGTTTTTTTTTTACTCATGCAGCTCATCAGGCTCATGTCATTTCGCTGAAACCTTGCATTTCAGATAGGCGCACAGAACGACTACCCATTTTGCAGTTTACTAGAATAAAGGTGGAAGAACTCTTGAACTGTGGTGGTTGAGAAACGGTTTTCAAATGATTACAGTAGTAAGGGTTAGTCAGATGACAAATCCGCAAAAGTTAGGTCCATAGTGATTCGGAAAAAAATGCGGTGAAGATACCCACACTCGCGATGAACTTACTTGCAAGCGGCCTTTTTCGGCTTCTTTTTGTTTCGATTGACCAGTAGTACCGTTGGCACAAACTTTGTAACTTCTCTTGCCAAATCTCTCAGTTCTGGCCCTGCTGAGATTGTTGCTTCGCTGTTGTCTTTTGACTGCTCCGACTCTTCGATTTGTCGCACAACTGGTTTAGCAGTGATCGCCGAGCTGCTGCTCGGCTGGCGCATAAAAGATTGTGGCAAACCAGGTGCAGCTATAATAAATGAACTCTGCTGAACGAAGATCCTTTAAGTGCAATCCAAAATTGAAATGGAACTTTGAGCGTCCTAAATTTCATTTGAAAATGGAAGCCTAGTGCTCACCTTACGCTTGGAGCCCACACATGAACAGCAAACATCTGCAACTTGGCCTGGTTACCAAGTTAATTGGGTGTCAACAGTGTCCCAAATCAACTTTCACTTGCGACACGCAAGACCTAGTCCTGCTCTAAAGCTGAATTTGAAGAACTATAGCCGCACATGGGCAAGAATCTCCTCTTTAAGTTTTATTTATCTGACAGAGAATATCCTCTAAGTTTTATTTACCTAGCATGACTAGTTGACGGAATGGCATTGACGCGTTGGAACACGCGACGTAGGCGAACGCCAAAGCACATTTTTCACTAACTTATGCATAGAAAACAAATATTCGCTTAAATTCAGAGCACTTTGAACAGCTTATTTTTTGAGGTGATGGAGATATTGCAGTCTCAGATTTGATGTACATGTGGCATAGTCGTGCATTAATGCAGAATTTGAAATTTTTTTTTCATGCAAGGACAAAAGTGAAATTTTAGCTTCTTATCCCTCTGGTTCCGAAAACTGCTCTCTTGCCAAAAAAATTCACATTTTTTCGGTCATCCGCACCTTATGCCCAGTGTACGTGAAATATTAAAAAGGGACAATCGGACACTGATCAGAAACATGCCTGAAAAATTTCAGCTTGTTAGCTTCTTTGGTTGCTGAGTTGAAAGTGATAGAAGATGCAAACACATACACACACACACACACACACACACACACACACACACATACACATCAATTACCTCTTGTCAACATGCCTTTTTCAAAAATACATTAAAATTTCCGGAACTCTCACGTAAAAAGTGAAATCGTTAAAACAAAAGGCTTACGAAAATTCGGTGGTGGAGGAGGTGCGTGAAGTGGAAGGCGAGGGAGCGGCAATAAAATTTTCGGAGGCGTGGGTGGCGCACGCAGTAAGAGATTTTGTGGAATCATCGGCCCCATCACTGGATTGCCCTTCTGCTGCATTATTTCTGTGGGAACTGCAACAAAGATAACGGCTTGAGATGTGACGGAAAAAAGGTGAATCCGCCTTGAAGTGAGTAATCTGAGCAAAAAATGTGTTACGTCTGCCTTTTTCCATTACGCTGTTTTTGAGCTCGCAGTATCTGCTTTAATGGGTGACAACTGGCACTTCCACAGAGGCGTTCCTGATATCACAAATTACAGGGAATCCTATATTAAAAAGTCATTATTCGTAAATCTAATTTGAACTGCAAAATGATCTCACGAAGCCAGCAAAAGGCAAGGGAAGGTTTCTGTTTTCGACAGTTGAACTGTCATTGAAAAGCAAACAACCCACGTGTGATGAACTTTCAAGTTTTTTAAATTGCAAACTATTAGTAAGGCTAGTTAGTGTAAAATGTTTTGCTAAATACGTTTTGTTTTTCAAAAAGTTAACAGTTAAAAATCTGATCTATTTTCACTTTCGATGAAGAGTATTTCAAGCTAACAAGTGCCAACAGCCGCCTCTCGCTGAGAAGGCTGTCAACTTAAAAGCAAGACCAAAACAGATAACCTCAACAGTTACAATATTCGCTTAATGCAATATAGCAAACAAGATCACCTAATGTTTTCAAGAAAGCTGCATTACTGTACTTGAAGATGAAATTTATGAAGAACTTCATGAAGTGTAAGAGTGAAATTTAGCTTTTGAAAAAGGCGAGCTAATGTTAAATTAGCTTTGCTCTGTTTGGGAGGAATTCACTTGTTCAGCGGAGGAACATATTCTGCCTAGCAGTTTTAAACAAGGAGCTTCTTGCTACTCCTTAATGCCTTTTTTTAAAATGTGCGCTGTTGCAAACGCTCATAGTACAAAATGAATCAGGCTTCAATGCATCGTGTTTTATAAGTTCTTAACGAGCAATACAAAAAAGCTCTCAAGGAATTTCAGTTGTTTGGGAAAGCTCTGATGAAATAATGGTACTTGAAAACAGCATCAAAACCTACTCTCAATGGGGCCGAGATCGTTTTCAGCCGGTGCTAATACAGATGCTGCGGGTTCTGCTGCATCCTTAGCGGTACTGTCTGGGACACCTTTAAATCGAACACGCCGCTTTGGGAGAATTTCACTATCACTTTCAGATCCGAGAAACGGGGGTAGGCCACAGGGAGGGCCTGGAGGTTCCGCTCGCTGGAAATCGCCTTGATCGGCTTGCGCATTCTTCAAAATACCAACGGAAATACGTGGTATTAGAAAATGAGCTGGTATGGCAGGAGCAACAGGTGTCATAGCTGCATTTGGGACTGAGGTGCCATCCGGCAGTGGAATTTCCACAGGATCGGTTTCCAGCGAAAATCGTTGCGCATCTAAATGATGAAAAGTAATCAAAAACTTAACAGAAAGCAAACGTGTGTTTTCGGGAAGGAAAACCGAACACATACTGTACTGCTGTATTTTTCGGTTTCTCTGCTCTTCATACTTCGCCAACTTCTTTTCCAAATCTTTAACAATATCATCACGTTTCTCCTGCTTGTACAAATTCATTATATCAGTGTAAGTCTGCATGGATTTGACACGCTTTTCGCTGATGACGTATATACTGGGGCGGTGCGGGTGGATGCTGTATTCTGAAACACTTGCGTTTTAGTCCAGAAATTTCTGGCACTTGCTGACATACTATAATAGCAAAACAGCTGACTTGCCTAGTGATAGCATAAAAGTGTGCAGGAGAAGGCGATATTCAAAAACAGTGATACCACTATTCGTTCTATACAAGCCTCAGTGAATGCAGGTATTCCTGAAGCGCAACCTGCTTTTTTTTGCGAAAGATTAGTCCTTCAGTTACTCAACAGCGCCACTAAGGAATGCTTTGCAAAATAAATCACATACACTAAGTGGGAGTGGGTTAGGGAGGGGGAAGGGGGACTTTCAGCAAAATGACTGTACCTCAAAAAAAGAGAAATCCACATCGGCACACATATTTCACTGAGATATCTCTATTACCGGCTTCTCAAGCGATAGCTCCTACAGCCTTCCATACTCCCTCTGTCTTTTTACAAAGGCCCTTAAAGCTATTTCAGTTGGCCTCTCTCCCTCTCACTCCGCTGCTCAAACTTTCCTCTGGAAATTTTCCTCGTTTTGCTGCCTGAATGAGTGTATTATCAACAGAAATGTTCCAAAAGTGGTGTGGAGCCCTCGGAAAACATAGTGTAGCTATGGTGTATCGTCCTACGCCAGTTACTGTAGTCTTACAGCATTAGCAGATGAACATGCAACTTTCAGCCGAGCGAACAGTAATTCACATTACCTTATGAATCATGAAAACATATTTCTAAGAGGAAGCACAGCCCGGGAAAATGTCAGCTGCTAGGTTTGTAAAAACTGCAGATTTGGCAAGCTGTCACAGTGCAGCAGCAATAGCAACAGCCGAGCAGTAGCAGCAGCATTAGCAGCAGAAGACTTTACCCTGATCGTCCAGTTTTCCCAAATTCTCGAGGATTTCATCAATATCCTTGTTCTTCAGTATCGCATGTCGTACCATTGTCCGCTGCTTGCGGTTCCTTTTCAGCTCCTTCAATCGCATGTACTTCCGCTCCTGGTCGGCCGGGTTCATGAAACGACCCGTTTTCGTGGTGTTACTTGGTCGTCGTCCCATCTCTTACCTCAAATACAGACAAACTTCAGAAATGCATGATAGTGAGTCCGAAAAATCTCGCATCGCGGGGAAAGCACGAACTTTTCTATTCCCAGTGAAAATTCCTACTTCTCCTCTTTCCCTTTCAGCCACTGAAGCACTCGCTATTCCTCCGAATCATCAAAACATCTTTTATCCCTTCAAAACCACCACACTCTTTTTCCTGATCTTTTAAATTCCCTCCCTTCCCCCGCCTCTCGCTACATTTAAATTCTCAAGGCAATGTATGCAAAAAAGAATTGTGTAGGTCACTTGGTAAGAGTGACAGCTAATGAATGGACATAGCAGAATACCAAACGGTATTCATGCAAAGTTAAAACAGCACAAAGAATCTGCCAGTTCAGTAAAAGATGAGTGTAAACACCTGCATAGAACTGAGTGAAAAAGAGGTTTAAAGAAGGAAATGGAGAAGTTGCCAACCGAACCATAGAAACGGAACTATCAAACAACAGCCTATCAAAGTGTCTAAGTAGTTCGAATTCGTTGAAGAGCCTTCGATATTTCAATAAATAATTGAGACGTTCGAAGAGTCGAAAGCACAGATCTGTACCACCCGTAACACTAGGAACCGGTAGGCCAGTTAGAAAAAGCACGATTTTTTCGGCCTCTCGAACACCATTTGCTAAGCCACGATGCTTACCAGCAGCATTGACAAAGCGGGCAATCCGCCGAGATTTCGCAGACTTTATTTTCTTCCGTGACTATCACGATACCATGCACGGCGCGTTCCCAACAAAGTATTCGATTTTCCGCAGTCATCAACATACAATACGCTACTTCTGAGAGGTTACTCTCGCCACCGATAAAGTTCGCCCTTCTGCTTTCATCGCAATTCGCCTTCACATGTTAATGCGTTCAGCGTGTTAGTAATAAGGAAGTATGGCCAGAAAAGCACGGCATTTTAAAGACATCAACTGCGCTGCAAAAACCCCACCAATTGGCGTCTTTTCGGAGTGCAGTCTCTAGCCAGAAGTACTGACGTAATATTCACTTCCTTTTGATTCATATGGAAGCATTTCCTTCCCTTTGCTTATAATTTCTTCTACCCACAACCATGCTTCGAAGGAGTCAAGTACAGGACAGCCTGGTTTCGCGCTACCTTCGGCCAACTTTCCAGTGTGTGGGTCTGTGGTTCAGGGAGCTGTATAAATAAGAATTTACGAAATATGATTGTCGAGGAAGAATATGTTGACAAAATAACATATCCGCTCGGGATAAGGTGGATTTTTCATATCTTAGGAAACCTATGTGGAATTTTCGATGCACTGTGTAACAGATGCTTGCAAGGCCCATAAAAGACCAGTTTCGGTTCGGCTTTGAGATAATGCAACAGTATGACTGTCCGCAGTGGATGAGCTCATGCGGAGCAATTTTTTAGGAACGCACTGGAATCAGATAGGTGAAAAAAGATTGAAAATGCTGTAATAATTCCACCGTACAACAGCCACTTCAAAAGAAGGCTGGAGATGCAGTCACACCCATCCACAGAGAAGCAGAATCCCTCTCAACCACTAAAATGGCGCTCCGCCTTAATTTTCGTTGTCCTTTAATGTTATGGTAGCGCTTAAGCAACTAATTTAACGCTCCTCGTCCTCGTCTTCATCATCGGTAACATATCGGAAAGCTCTTAGACCAAATTCAACATCTCTTTTGTAGCACTTATGATCATCTTACTGAATTTTACGCTTTCTAGGTAAATTTTGTCCCGTTCGGCGAAAAGGTGAGGAAGGGGAGACATAAGAAAGCTAGCAGGAAGGGCGGGACAGGAGGAGGGGAACGGTGAGGAAGGAAGCAGGCAGCAATCAAGCGCTCAAAAAACCAAAATCCGGATGGACTGTCTTCTCAGGTTCTAGATTAAAGATGTCTAGACCCGAAAATACAGCAGAAAAATCAAAAAAAAA